TGCACTGGCTACCAGTAGCTGCTCGCATTAAATTCAAGGCATTAATGTTTGCCTACAAAACCACCACTGGCTCTGCACCCATTTACCTTAATTCATTACTTCACAGTTATGTGCCTCTAGAAGCTTGCGTTCTGCAAGTGAACATCGTTTTATTGTTCATCCCAAAGAGGCACAAAATCACTTTCACTGACTTTTACATTAACTGTTCCCTCCTGGTGGAATGACCTGCCCAAATCAATCCCAGCAGCTGAGCCCAGCCATCTTCAAGAAATGACTAAAACACATCTATTCTTGACCCTCTAAAGCACTCTCTATCATATTTATATTATATCTAATTGTTTTCTTTTTATAAAAAAAAAAAAAACAACCCTCAGTCTAACTCTAGCATTCTCTATTTTATCTACTCGTTTTCTTTTTAATTATTATAAAAAATAATAATAACTTGACCCTCAATAGCTCTATTTCTTTTCTATCTAATTTTTACTCTTTTTATTTATTATAAAAAAAACCTTGCTAACCGGGACTTGACACAGCAGTTACATATTATTGCTCTTTGGTTTGATTGCTTCTATTGTCTTCATTTGTATGTTGCTTTGGATAAAAGTGTCTGCTAAATGCTTAAATGTAAATGATTTGTGCACTGTACTTATATGTCATTTTAGCCTGATTTTTTTTTATATATATATTTTTGGCATTTATTGCCTTTTATTAGGACAGGACAGTTAGCCGGGATTCGAACTCGGGATGCCCGAAGCGCAACGGCGCTGTATATTGGCGGCGCACTGCCCACGAAGCCATTGGCACCGACAGCCTGATTTTTTTTTTTAATCATCTAATTTATTTTTAATTGTACAAACTTTAATAAGATGTATATTAATAACTGTAGCCAGCAGCTATCACTCTGCAGCTCTCGCCTGGTTGCCCACCGACGCTAAGCAGGGCTGAGCCTGGTCACTACCTGGATGGGAGACCTCCTGGGAAAACTAGGTTGCTGCTGGAAGCAAGTACACTCTTAAAATAAAGGTGCTTCACGATGCCATAGTAGAACCTTTTTTTGTCTAAATGGTTCCATAAAGAACCGAGAGTGTATAGGTCTCTGCAGAAAGTAATGGGAGTTACCAGATTGGGGCGTTTTTAGACCATGTTACCTGATTGGCTGACGTCATAGTGACGGTAGGTTTAGGGGTGGGGTCAGGTACGGGGGATCATTTTCATTGCGTGATTTAGAAACATCCAGCAGTTTGAAAACAAGCACAAAGTCAGAAATGCCCACTTTTGCTCTGCAGAGACCTCAGTCTCGCTGGAAGAGGTGCTAGTGAGGCCAGCAGGGGGTGCTCACCCTGTGGTCTGTGTGGGTCCTAGCGCCTCAGTATAGTGATGGGGACACTATACTGTCAACAAGCACCGTCCTTTGGATGAGACGTTAAACTGAGGTCCTAACTCTCTGTGGTCGTTAAAAATCCCAGGGTGTCTTTCAAAAAAAGTAGAGGTGTGACCTTGGCATTCTGGCCAAATTTGCCCATTGGCCTCTGATCATCATGGCCTCCTAACAATCCCCATATCTACTGATTGGCTTCATCACTGTCTCCTCTCCACCAGTAAGCTGATGTGTAATCTGGGCATTCTGGCGCACTATGGCTGCCGTCGCATCATCCCTGTGGATGCTGCACAAAGGTGGTGGACGAGGAGATACCCCTCACAATGTAAAGCATTTTGAGTGCTTAGAAAAGCGCTATATAAATGTAATGAATTATTCCCTTAATATGGTCATTTGCAATGCACAAATGCTACACAGAACAAATCGTCATATTACTGAAGATAACATGCTAGAAAAAGTAAAGAAATCAAATAATACTTGGGCTGCAGGTGCTGGCTGGTGTCAGGTTATATGAAAATGTGCTGTCTGTATGATTACTTATGCTTTTGTTTTATTATTCATACCACAGCACTAACAAAGTGTGTCTTTATAGAAATATTGCAAATATTGTAAAATTGATTTACACGGATAGCAGTTTATTTAATCATGTCTGGCAAGACAGAAAGGTTTTTACATTTTATTGGGATATATTAAAGTTAAATTAACATTTAAGCTTTTTCAGACCTCTAGAATTTAGAACCATTTTCAAAGGATCACATACAACTTTGCTTTTTTTCTATTAGGTTAGGTACAAATGACTTTAGTTTATTACTGATTGTTAAACTTATAACTGAAGGACTATTTACCAATCAATTAACACCTGACAATGATGCCTAATGTGCGTCTGTGTTCATATAAACACCTAATTCAGCAATACTAACATTATTCATGAATTATATTGACATTCCAATGACAAATAGTGTCTTTTATTGCCACAAACTGCATTGTTTACATGAGCTGTGAGCTATAGAAGTACAGTAATATCATAATCATAATGGGCCAAGTAAACAATGGTAAATGTTTTAATGAATCAAAATTATTTTTATAACTTTCTGTCAAAAGTGTAAAAAGATAGTGTATGCCTAATTTTGTGTAAATCATACAAATGGCCTCAGATGACTTTGAAAAGTAAGTTTTGTCAAAAAAGTCAAAGTGGCAGCAGGGTGCACTATGGGAAGAAGGCAGGACGGCGGAGACAGTGTTATGTTCTGCTGGGAAACCTTGACTGCTGGTATTCATGTGGATGTTACCTCGAAACACACCATCTAACGAAAGTTGCAGACCACATACACCCCTTTCAGCGGATAATTCACCCTGACACACTGAAGAAATTGTTCAGGAATGGTTTGATGATCACACTGTCAGAAAAATGTGCAACAGCTTGCCACTGGGGCAGTACCCTCAAAGTGAAACTATTAACCTTCTTTACCCTTAAAGGGTGCCTATTACATTTATGCATTCAGCAGATGCTTTTATACAATGTGACTTACAAATGAGGACAACTGAAGCAATCAAAACCAACAAAAGAGCAATAATATATAAGTGCTGTGATAAGTCTCAGTTAGCCTAACGCAGTACAAAAGTTTTTTTTTATATATAATAAATAAAAAGAAAACAAGCAGAGAACGTTAGTGTTAGAGGGTCTCTTTTTTTACAAAGAAAGAAAAGTTGAAATAATAAAAAAGAATTGAGAATGTTAGTGTTAGAAGATCATTTTTAAATAAAAAGAAAACAAGTAGATAGAATAGAAAAAGACTAGAGAATACTGTGTTAGAGGCTCTATTTTTTAAATAAAAAGAAAGCAATTATTGTAAAGAGTGCGAGTGTTAAATGAGCAAGTTTTTTATATAAATAAATAAAAAGAAAACGAGTAGATATAATAGAAATAGAATAGAGAGTGCTGGTGTTAGAGGGTCAAATAAAGATGGAAGAGATGTGTTTTTAGCCGATTCTTGAAGATGGTTAGGGGCTCAGCTGTTGGGATTGATTTGGGCA